AAGCTTATCTATCTTTAAGCCCTTGCTAGCTGTCAGAAATTTGTGATTACAGTACTGCCCTATGCAATTAATTACTGAACTGTAAGTGGCACTTTCTTCACAAAGAATCTTCTATGCTTGAACTGAGTCTGCTTCCAAAAGAATCTTTGGGAAAGAATAACTCTCATTAGCTTTCCATTCAGAGGAGTCTTTCTTAGCAATTGTTTTACATTCAGGTTTCCCTAGTATTAACTTCTAGCTTATTTTTGGTTTTGCCTTCTTATCCTGACCATTTTCCAATCCTCAATAAACTTCTGATTTCCAGCTTCCAGACTTATGACTTATTCTTTACAATATTTTGGTTCTTACATTTAGCAATATATGGTAGCTGCTTTGTTATTTTTCCAACATCTGAAAGCTAGGAAATACTTCCTCAGCTTGAAATCTGATTAACAATGTACAAATACAAAGAGCCTATATTTGTGATTGACACATGTACAATATACTTACCATCTCTGTTAAGTGAAATCTCTTGATTCCTGGTTCCTCTTTATAACCTTTTAGTAGTTATTTTGTGATGACTTCATCACAATGCTTTCCTTTTCCATGAAAACAATATCCTAAGAGCTAAACATTAATGTAGATTTTAAATTAAAAACCTCTGTGCTGGAAAGCCATTAATCTGTTTTAGATGCTTCCTATAAAATTCACATGGATTCAGCATCTGCAAAGGGCATACTGATTTGAATTATCCTTTTCTATTCCCAGAGGGGGCAGGGGGAAGAAACTGCTAAGTTCAATGTGTCCAAAATTGCCTTTAATCAAAAGCCCTGTAAATATTTGTTGTACTGTTTTATAGCATGTTGATCTGTTCTACTCTCACATAAACATCTTTGACTTTCAAGCTTGTCACAATTATAATTAAAACTCATTGTTTTTTTTAATCTCTGCTCAAGTATAATGCTAGCAAAGAACACTTTGAAGTAATTAAGAAAAGGGCATACAACCCTAAATGATGCTGCAACATTATCATCAATATAACTGGAAAATACTTTATTCTCTGAGTTATGAATTATACTTTGATCCAAAATATATTTTTAAATTGTACAATGAATACTTTTTCTTTGCTTCTGCTTCTTTTACATTTCTTCTTATCCATCTTCATCTCTACCCTTCCACATGAGGGTAGACAGTATGTTGTTTCTTCCTGTATTAAATATGCACATTTCTTCTGCACAGAAAAGAAAGGCAGAGAATGTTTTAAATCTACTGCAAACTACAGAAATAGTGCACATTTTTTTATTAACTTCCATTTTCTATATTGTTTGGAGACACATTTGAAAGAGTGGTTTGATCACCCCATCTACAGACATAAATTATTATTCTATTTCAAAAACCATTATACTAGGTTGAGACTTTGAAAGATACAACTTACTTTCATCAGATGTACCTATTAAATATGGAATTATACAGAAGCATATTTTTTTAAAAAAATGAGCATTTATTATCTAACAAAAAACATATATTTACTGTATTTTTAATATTTATATTGTACTGTCACGTTGCACTATGGACAAAATCTATATGGTCATTATAGGCAACACATTACACATGCCTTCCAATAGGAAAGTTCTACCTTTTCTGTTTCCTGTTCTCATTTTGCTTTTTACCAAGAATTGGTTTGTATATTCTTTTCTTTTCTTTTCCTTATTTTGAATATAATCTAAAAAAGCCTATTATATTGTAGTAAGCATCCTTTTCTAACATCATTTCATTCTAAGCTTTTTCTTTACTGAGATCAGCTCCATAGTTAAGCCACCTTTCTGTACTCTTCCTTTGTGATCTTGTTTCCTATGTCTTCTTTTTTCTTTTCAGATTTTCATTAAGCTTTTCCTGCAGTTTCCCTTTTCTTCACTGAAATGGTTTATACTTATTCTTTTAATATATTTTTTTCTAACCATCTTGAGCATTTTGTTCATTAGCTACTTCTGCCATAGGATTTCTCCGAGTTTATTAAAATCTGGGTTTTTTTTTGAAGTTAAAGGTACATATTAAGCTACACTAATTAATTAATTAATTAATTAGACATATACCGCTTCATAGGGCTTTCAGCCCTCTCTAAGCGGTTTACAATTTTTTAGCAAATCGAGTCAGCAACTTGCCCCCACAGTCCGGGTCCTCATTTCACCCACCTCGGAAGGATGGAAGGCTGAGTCGACCTTGAGCCGGTGAGATTTGAACCGCTGAACTGCAGATCACAGTCAGCTACAGTGGCCTGCAGTACTGCACCCTAACCACTGCGCCACCTCGGCTTTAAACTTTCACTTCCTCTAAAATCAAGAACTATAGCATTATACTTCTACATTCCCCCCAATGCCCCTATTTCCAGCTCTTCATCTGGTCCCAATTAATTAATAAAAATAAAAAAAGCTTCAACTCCATTCTCAGATAAAGTTATCAAGGACAAGCGAGGAACTTCTTCTAAGGATCATGCTTGACAACATTTGTTTTCCAAAGATTTGGGTGTAGAGTTTCCTAACCTTGTAACCTCATGCTTCTTTAAAAATTGCAAATTGCTTTTGGGCAACATCAATACCTTGTCTTCAGTTAGTTGGGTTTTCTGAATTGGATCAACTCCATACAAGCTTGAAAATTCATGTCTTCATTCTGCCTGGCCCTCACCAAGTTTCAAAATTGTATATATCTTATTTATTCATTAATTTTGTATTCTTCCCAAATCTAAATGACTCTCAGAGCCTACTTGGATTGGGAACTCCAAATAATGTTAGTGTAGAACAATGTAATGGGAGGTTGGGGGAAAAAAATCTCAGAAGTTATCTACCTGGACATGGTCATTAGGAGACTTGACTTCATTTTGACTACTATAGGGTCAATGCATATATATAAAATCAGCTGATAAAGGAGGAGAGCCGGTGGCTTAGTGGTTAACACATCTGCCTAATATGTAATATAGCTCAGGTTCGAATCCCAGTAAGGGTATGGCTAGCTGATGAGAGCTAAATAGCTTGAAATAGATCTACACTAGTCTCCCTTTATTTATTTATCAGCACAAATACAATCTTTCTTATTTTAAAAATAATCTTAAAAACACTTAAATATATTCTCCACTGATTTAAGCTATTAATATAGTGATTGTTTCATAAAAGTTATGTGGCCTGGGAACACCAAAGTTCTTGCCATTGCCATAAAAGTTCTCCCTTTACATATAAAATAACCATTTATATTTTTAACTTTATTCATAAAGCACCGGGCAAAATACACCACAGAGATGAAGCTGATAGTATTTCCTACAGTTCTTTATGGAAAACTAGGTGTAAAAATGATCGGAAAACAGGAATACAGAGCATTTATTTGTTAGATTTATAAACCACCTTTCCACAAAGAACTCAAGATGGCATACATCTCTCTGGGACACACAAAGTAAAAAAAATACAAAAACAAAGAAGACATTAGAATATGATGGAAGACAAACTAATCCATACATTATTTAGCATAAATGACTGATTTTTTTGTTTCATAGGAGCTAACACTTATTTTATTGAATAATGATTTTAATAGTATGCTTCATGTGTAATTATCCTTTCTGGAGGTAGCATGTTTATCAATGAAGAAAAGAAGGATGTAGAATTAATAGATAAGCATGCTGGCACTAGGATTCACCAAATATCTAATAACCTGAATAGAATTTACTTTCAGGTAAGTTCTCAAAAGCTGTAGATTAATGTAAGATTAGGAGTTTTACCATTTAATTCTAAACATAGGTACACAATGAATAGAAAGTGAGATTCTTAAGATACTGCACTAGTTTTTGTCACTAAAGATTGGTGAAATGAGATCTGTTAAGAGACCTCTATATTTTACTTCTTTTCCAAATATCTTGAACTAAGAAAATTGTCAGGAAAGGAATTTATCTGAATTTTAAAACACTCTCAAAACAAAGGTAAAACTGTCAAAGAAAATAGTTTGAATCTCTAGATTTTATAAATATTAATGGGTTGCATAGTTAGAAAGCCAGACTAGACTATTCTTTGCTATCCATTTCAGGCGGAGATGTAATGAAGAGAAAAGGATGTTTATTCTTCCTCCGGTGCAGATCAATCTAAATTCATTTACGTTTTACGGGAAAAAACATTTTCCTTCTATGGAGCTAAGATTGCTATACTGATAACTGAGCACCTCTCAAGTCTAACACCACCTAAGATAATTTCTTCTTCAAAACGGGAAGAAATCCTTTCCTTCTGGGAGGGAAATGGCATTAATCTTGGAAAGAAAAGAAAGGTCTTGACGGCCAAACGGGACACCTGAAGGTGCCGTGGAATCGGGTTTTCTAGAGAATGTCGCCGAATTCAGGCCGGGAAACCCGCACACAAGGAAGGGGCTTTCGCCACCCTGGAGTCCCTTAGTCTTCCAGGTGCCAAAGGAGGAGTCCCGGTTCTTTTCAAGGGAACGCCGAAAGGCCGTCCCGGAACGCGCTCCGCAGCCAAGCGCAAGGCGAAAGAAGGAGTAACTTTCATCCTGCCAACGGCCATGAAATCGCGGTGGTTGCTCTTCTTGCTCCCTCTCGTCTCTTTCTTTCACGCAGATGCACAGATACGGCAGGCAACACCAACTTGCGGCCACCGCACCTCGAAGTGCGTGTCTTCCACCCGTTCCCCCACATGCGCGCGCAATCACACCCAGAGAGAGAGAGAGAGAGAGAGAGAGAGAGAGAGAGAGAGAGACGCATACATACACACGCGCGCGCTAGGTACTCAGAGAATGTGGGTGATTACGGGAGGGGGTTCTTCTCTTCTTCTGCCTCTCCCCCCTCCGCCCCGCAGCCGCCACTTCTCTCCCTCCATTGCGTCGGCTTTCGCCCCCCCCGCCTCCTCCTCCTTCCACCGCTCCTCTTCTCGTGCCCTCTGCCTTCGCTGCTATTCCAACCGAGCGCGCGCGCGCCCGCATTTGTCTAGTGCTGCGCGCGGGGCACCTGCTCGTCTGGCTGCTGCTGCTGTTTGCTGCTGTCGCCAGCGCCACCCATTGCTGCCGAGGCTAAAGTCTGCTGTTGCCGCTGCTTAGCGGTTCCAAGCCTCCTTCGCCGCTGCCGCCACGGGCGCCACTATTCCAAGCTGCTGCCGCCGAGCTGTTGCGGAGCGAGTCGGGCTCCTCCGGTGGGGTTTGCCCCTTTCCCCGCCCGCTCCTTCCCCCTGCCTGCGAGTCAGCCTGGCTCGGAATCACGTGGCAATTGCCTGAGGCAGAGACTAAAGAGGGGGGAAAAAGCGCTTCATTCCTTCTTCCACCGCCATACTGTATTTTATAGTAACTCGCGTTTTTATTCCTTCCTTTTACTCCCGCTCGGTGAGTACCTTTCCGCTGAAATTCTTGTCCTCCTTTTTTTGTCCTGTTTTCTTCTTCCTTTTTTTTGTTTTTGCTGCTTTTTTATTTTTACTTCTTTGTTTTCATGGATTTGATCCTTTTTCTGATGAGAAGTTTTTTTTTTCTTAGCATGCGATGGTTTACTAAACTGGGAGCAAAAGGTGTTGCTGGGACTGGAAGTCGCTAGGAATCTTAAAGAGCAAAAAAAAAAAAAAAAACGGCGAAAAAAAATAGACTTGCCAGTCCAGCAACAGTGTAAATGCATACACCTTATTTACGTATATATACACATGCAACTGGTTTTGTACTGACCAAAAAGCGATGTAAATTATTATGCATTTTTTTTAAAAAAGCAAAGAGATGAGAAGTGGGCATGTTGCTTAACTAACTCTCTTTTGCAGATATTTTTGACGGTGTTTTCTTTTTTTGCTTTTTTGTGTATATATATGGGATTTAAAAATGCATTTTACAGCAACGTTTACAAACAGTTTGTGATCTTGCAATGCCTAGTGCAAGCCACCGAGCAAGATATTAATTTTGTTAAATGTTTTTTTTATTATTATTGTTTTGTTTCTTTTTCTTTTTTGGACATCCGGTTGGAATCAGCCGTTTTTCTTCTTTTTCTGATTTTATAATGTGAAACTTTTCTTGCAGCTTGGTACTGTTGAGCATTTTTAAATTCTTCCTCCCCCGTCCAAAAAAAAATGCCGTGTAGTGAAAGAGAGAGGGAGAGAGCCAAAAAATATTTCCTTTCCAGAGTTTCACTTTTTAATATTTTTATACAGAGATAATTTTATGATAATTATCATAATGTTGCTAGCTGTGCACATATATACAAATAAATATATTTTCAAAAGATGGCAGTGGAAGGTTTTCCTGGAGAATGAAGTGCCTTTTGGTTTCCTTGTCAACGGAAGATGAAGTGAACAACTGAACATCTCTCCCCAGTGCAGGTACTTCAGCTCCTTGTAGGCGTTTCCACTCTTTGTAAATTACATTATGAGATATATTTTCTCTCTCTCCCAAATAAGTTCTCTTGAGTGTTGGCTGCAGAACTGTAAGTGATGGCAGAGATGATACTAGGTATTCTTATACTGTTTGGGGGTGCTAGATATTACACTAATTGTATGCAGGTCACTGAAACAGCATAGATTGTGTATATGAAGGAAGTTTATCTGAATGGAAATATATATATGTTACGGGAGCACTGATGTTCTTAAGAAATTGACAGTGACAGAACTTAATTGTTGAAGAAAGATGTTGGGATTTTGTTATTGCCCACTAGGTGTCTGCGACAGACAGCTTGACAGTCTTTCTCCCATACCTGTTTCCTTGTGAGCCTCATATATTTTCCCCAGCACACACATTTCCTCTATTTCTAAGTTCATTTTTGTTATATTAATTTAGTAAAGGGTGAAATAATTTATTGACTCCCATCTTTTTGTGTCCAGTTATGAGACTAAAGAGTGTTGATAAATTGTAGGTTATTATTTTGGTTTGTATAATTAATGTTATTGCCCAGTCATTAAATATTATAAAGCATAACTTTTTCAATTGTGCTTAGTCATTGGATCAGACACAAATAACTTGTATGTGAAATTCTGCATTTGCTTTGTGTTGAAATGTGAAAAGACAGAACAATTAATAAATGGATGAAAATATGTTGTTCTTCCACATCGTTTGTCTTTTTGAGCAAACAATGGTAGGATAAGGATTAGAGTACTAAACTTTCCATATTTGCAGTTTTTGTGATACTCAGACAATATTAAATAGTCAGCATAATAAAATTATACTGGTTAAATAGTCAGTATAATAAAAAAATGATAGTTTCTCTAATAGACACAACAAGTGTGTAGCAGTTGCATTTCATAAATTTAACCATGAACACAACCATTTGATTTACCAAAACTTCATAATGTCTACAATTTGAAATACTTTGTGCATGCATTTATAATGATGCAAAAGTTTGTATGTATTACCTGCAGTAACTGCTAGCATTAGAGGAAAGCCATATAAATTAAGTTGGTAGAAAAGTGTAGACTGGCTTGACAACATAGCAGAAAAGCAGAGACTTGTATATTTTTCCCCAGAATCATGGAATAAAGCTGCATAGCAAACTTGAGGAAATATGTAATTCATATATCACTGACCCAACAAGACTGCTTCAACAAAAATTATTTGGAGGGTGCTGTTTGAATCCCATTTACCCCCATTCCTTCTAAAACATGACCACATGTATATAGAAGTAAACTCCATATGTTTATCTTAATCCAGTATTGATAAACTGAAAGATAAAATTGAGAATGCAAACTTAAGCAGACAAAGCCTCATTGACCTGATTAAAATCTCTATAAAGATGCTTGCAGTTGGGCTGTCTGACTGATACATCAATAATGTAACACATCCTTTACATAATTTAAATAAATACCAAAGGTATTAAGAATATCAATCAATTTATTTGCAAATTATTTTCAGGAAATTGAAGATACTAGCTGTAAAAAAGGTTCATTGCAGCAATGTTACTGGCTTACTGGGTTTATTAGTCAGCTACACATATTTTCAAATGATTAGGTTTCAAAAGTGATTTAAGTTAAAATATGAAAAAATAGCTATACTGTATCAGCAATCATTTATAAAATTCGTTTTTAAGATGATCTGAAAAAATGATCAGACTTACATTCGTTTGTTGCCTAGAATAATGCAGGTATCATGGCTCACTGATTGAATAGAATATTACCTGATTTTATGCCATATTCTATGTATAAACAGGCACTGATTGATTGGACAAAGTTTTTGATATATATAGATACAAGAAAAACTGTGTCAAATGTATATTTTGAAATATAAAAACAAAATAAAATCTTGAGAGCTTTTATATTGGTGGAATCCATTGAAGTCTACTAAAATATGAATGTAATGAATGTGCATATGCTTATATTTTAAATCTTGGGGCAAATGTTGTATTGTTTCAATTTTGATAAGACATAGTTAAGAAGAATCTGGCAGATAAAAGGTGCAGCCTGAATTTAACCTTTTTATGTAGAAATAAATCAGTTTCTTTTAAGGAGACCTAAGAAGCAACTAAAGTTAGCTATGGTGTAGCCTAGAATTGGTTTGCAAGAGTATTGGAGAATGCAACTTTGATACTCATCTTTTTGTCAAAGTACATGTTCTTCCAGTTGAATTTAAATAAAGTTATTGGGAACAGAGTTATGTATACTAATTAAATAGAACTTTGAATATTTGAAGGGAGAAGAATACTGATAAAATGTGTTAGTTCTCAATCTGGAAAGTGAGAAGTTTGCAAATGTAATTAATAGCATGTTGTAATTGATGCATAATTCAAGTAGCATGTTCATGTTAAAAAATGGAACATGAGATTTAATGCCATGAAATTGCTTATTTAAAAAAAATAACAACCTTACAGTTCAGTATTACAAATAAGACCACTTGAGTGATAAGATCAACAGTATGCTGTAGAGAAGTGGTTCTCAACCTTCCTAATGCCACGACCCTTTAATATAGTTCCTCATGTTGTGGTGACTCCCAACCATAAAATTATTTTCATTGCTACTATGTAACACCGGAAACCACAAAACCTGGGTGGGTGTGGCCAACTCAACATCACTCCCACCCAGTCACATGACATCCCCCCCCAGACATGCCTACCAAGGTTTCATGGCTCAGTGTTTTCTGTGGGAATAGGGTCTCCCTCTCTTCTCTCCCCCTCCCTCTCATTTTTGTTTTTCTCTATTTTTCCTCTCCCTTTCTCTTCTTTCTTTCCTTCCCTTTCTCTCTTTCTTTTTCTTTCTTTCTCATTGAATACGATAGCAAATCCAAAATAAAGTTATTAATTGTAGGAAATTGCTTCTCTGTAATCTTTTCATAGTGAACTCTAAGTTGATAGAAGCTGGCAAGATTGTACTAACAGCAATAGAATATATATTTTGATTTCTTTTGAGTTTGACAATATAATACGTTATCCAAAATTATAAATAATCTTATTTTCAGATGCATTTTTTGGTCCTCTCTGTTATTTTCTTTTTAAAAAATCAGACTTGCTTCCAATTTGTGCCCTCTGGCAAACTGCAGTTTTCTTGGCAAGAGATCTAGCTTGCCATTGCTTTTGTCAAAGTAAGTTTCTTTCTTTCTTTTCTCTTCCTTTCTTTCTCCCTGATTTGTTTCCGTCTCTTTTCCCTCTCTCTCATTCTCTCCCTTCAGGTCTCTTTCATTTCTTTCTCTCTCTCTCCCTTCTCCCTCTAATTTGTTTCCCTCTCTCCCATTCTCTCCTTCCAGCTCTCTTTCATTTCTCTCTCTCTCTCTATTTATCTCTCTTTCTCCCCTTTTCTCTTTCATCTCTTTCTTGCGCGTGCAAGCAAAATACTCTCCTAGGCCGGGATCACAATGGTGGGGACAGTGACTCCTTCCGCTGCTACCACTGAGAAGTGAGTAGCTGGCTGTGCTGCGCAGGAGACTTCCTCAGTGCCAGACTCATATTGGTCCCCTTCGTGTTGACTCAGGAAAGAGTCAGAGAAGCCATCTCTGGATGCAGAGAGGGAAGAGTTCCAGAGCCCTGCCAAGGAGAGCCCTGTGCAGCGCAGGAGAACTGGAGCTCTTCCCTTCCTGCACCCAACCAGCTGCTGCTGCTCCCATTCCCTTCCTTCCTGAGCCAACACGAAGGGGACCATGGCTCGCACTGAACTGAGTCTGGCGCTGAGGAGTCTCCTGCGCAGCGTGGCTCCCCTGCGCTGCGTATCCAGTTATTCACCTCATTGTACAGTGGCAACAGCAGGAGGAGAGTCATTGTCCCCTTTGCCTTGATCCTGGCCCAGGAGGGTATTTTGCTTGCGCGCGTGGGACGCTTCTCGACAACCCCTGTGAAAAGGCCGTTCTACCCAAAAAAGGGGTCGTGACCCACAGGTTGAGAACCGCTGCTGTAGAGTATACTTCATTTAAAAAGAGCACTGTGCTCTTATTATATA